CTTATGTCAACATAGCATGGACAGAATCAAATACAAACAACACTACAAGAAGAATGATGAAAACAGCAAATATTTGTGTCCCTTCTAATAGGGTAAATTACCGGTTTATTATTTCTAAATGAATTGAGTCTGAATTTCAATACTGAAACTTTGTTTTAATGTTGTCATTTTGTTGAAATATGTTTTGTCTATATTCTATGGTTTAAGAATCAATATTCATTCAGATTAAAACCAATAAATGTAATTTCAGTGCCATAAAACACAATACAAATCGAGACAAAACAGTGTTTCTAAGTTGCTTAATAACCAAACTAAATTATGCAAGAACTCGGGCATATCCAGTAAAATCAATCTCATTAAATCAGATCATTGTTTTCGCTCCGTTACTCTTTGTTACCTAGCGAAGGGTACTGGAGTGATACGATATGATTTTAATGAGATTTCACTAAAAAATACTACAAAAATAATGAAAGAGTAGGTCTAAAACAATGGCAACAGTAGGGATCAAACCACAAACCGCTCATATCTTAAGCAATCACTTAACGACTGTTTTAATGTGGATGTGATGGCAACATATAAATTATGCTGGTTTCACTTTTCCAAACATTAGTTACATATACTCCATATTCATTTTCATAAACTACACGGACACAACCAAAGTGTGATCGAATATTTAAACAGTGCTATACTGTATTCATAATTGAAAGGTCAATAAAACTTGACTATAACCAAAATTATATAATAACTACGGAATTAAGAATATATTTGGGTTTTTCCCAGCTAATCTGTAGGTACAAAGAAACTTCAACAGTTACAGCTTCGAAAATAAGCGGAGCAGGTTGACGGGTAGTGAACCGTGAAGCTATACCAAATTTGTACCGGGAGAAACCAAAATTTGCCGAGTTCCGTATAACGTCTTTTAACCAGAAAATGTCTGCGTTTCCAAGGAGCATTCAGGTGATTATGAACCAAACAAGGAAAACGAACATCACAATGTGAAAAACACTGAAAATATCAGTCTGTAAATACATATCAGGGAGGTAACTCTAGCATTTGTTTTTACTCTCACTCTCAAAACTGATAAGAATTTGTCTCCCTTACACTATTACAAGGTAAATGTTTTTTTAACTCTTACTGGACTTGCTGAATTTATGGCTGATTTATCATGCTTTGAATCCGGAACAGTCTGGTTAAAGTTTTATTGATTTTTGATATCAAAATACAAAAGCTTGGTCAAAATTCACTGAAGTAGACAGGACTGGCTCAATATTTGTAACTTCTAGTTCTAGCAGGCTGCATGCCTCCAGATGAGCCAAAATATTAAAAAAAATCAAACTTGAGAAAAATGTACTTTGATGTAAGGAAAAGTAAAAACATTCAAGATTCAAATAATGATTTACATGACTTTGTTATGTGTGATTAATGACTGATTTTGCAGACTGTATCACCATATTTCTACTTTGTGACTAATAAAGTAACAACTGTTTTTGTATAAGTTTAGCTCTTGATATTAATTCATGTGCATTGTAAGTGCTATTTGAAATATGTAACTTTTGGTGATCATCAATCTATTAGTTCTGTAGAAATAGATGTTAAAAGGTATTTCTATTTTTAGCTTTAGCGGCTCCTACAAGGGGCCAATCAAATTAATATGAGCAAACTTGATAAAATACTACCCAAGAATGCTACAGACAAAGTTTGGTGATCGTCCATCAATTAGTTCTGTAGAAGAAGATGTTAAAAGGTTTTTCTTTTTTTAGCACGAGAGACCCCTAAAAGGGGCCAATCAAATTAATATAAGCAAACTTGATAAAACACTACCCAAGAATGCCACAGACAAAGTTTGGTGTTCATCCATCAATTAGTTCTGTAGTAGAAGATGTTTTGTAGTAGAAGATGTTTAAAGGTTTTTCTATTTTTAGCTCTGTTGACCCCTAAATGGAGTCAAATGAAATGACATGAGCAAATTGACTGTCACAAGTGACTGTCACAAGGATGCTACAGACCAAATTTGAAGTAAATCTGCCCAGCAGTTTCAGAGAAGAAGACCATTGTTGACGCATGATGACGGACGACCGACGCCGGATATACTAATAGCTCACCCTGAACCTTCAGTTCTGGTGAGCTAAAAATGAGAAAGAAGTTCTTGACCAATAACAGAAACGATTAAAAACTGATAAATTATCACATGTCATTTTAAGTGGAATTTTTACTTTTTCTTCTTCCAATTCTGCAAAGCCTATGGTATAGGATTTCAAAATAAACACAATTTTTTTGAGCAGCTTATTTTTAACCCTTTCCATGCTAGATGGACTCGTCCATCTTTCAATCTGAACAAAACCATTCATCATTTGTAGGGGAAATTTCAATATATGTATCAGCACAGACAATAATCAGACAGCATAGATTTGCCAAGTGATCCATGTCCGCACAGGTTGCATGGGTAAAAGCTGTTACCACCCGAGGTCTATTAGTAACAAGCAAATTCGTTGAATTTATATCCCCCGCCGAGTACTGGTTATTATTAACAAAACAACTGAATACATATGGCTTTATTTATATATTAATCGTGGCATAAACAGTAATATTCTTTTAACTTGATAAATATTTAGGGCAATAACAGAGCCATAATTTTGTGTTAAATAGTAAAATCTGGAAATGCCAATGAGATGTATGCATACTACATAACTAATCAAGGGCCATAAATAAGGGTTATAAGTATCTGACCGGGAACAAGGCGACTATATGCACGTCTCCTCTTAGTATCCCATAAAGTTTCATTGAATTCCAGCCAGTAGAAGCAGAGAAGTAGCGAGGAAACAAATATTTTTCTATATGGATACTGCATAACTATCCAAGGGCCATAACTCTGAGTTAAAGTGTCTGACCGGAACAAGCCGACGATATGCGCATCTCCTCTTGGTATTGAAGGTTCCCATAAAGTTTAGTTGAATTCCAGCCAGTAGTTGCAGAGAAGTAGCGGGAAAACGATTTTTACTCTATATGCATACTACATAACTAATCAAGGGCCATAACTCTGAGTTAAAGGGTCTGGCCGGAACAAGCCGACGATATCCGCATCTCCTGTTGATATTGAAGGTTCCCATAAAGTTTCGTTGAATTCCAGCCAGTAGTTGCAGAGAAGTAGCGCGGAAACGTTTTTTACTATATATGCATACTGCATAACTAATCAAGGGCCATAACTCTGAGTTAAAGTGTCTGACCAAAACAAGCCGACGATATGCGCATCTCCTCTTGATATTGATGATTCCCATAAAGTTTAGTAAACGATTTCTACTATATATGCATACTACATAACTAATCAAGGGCCATAACTCTGAGTTAAAGGGTCTGACCGGAACAAGCCGACGATATGCGCATCTCCTCTTGATGTTGATGATTCCCATAAAGTTTCGTTGAATTCCAGCCAGTAGTTGCAGAGAACTACTCCGGAAACGATTTTTACTCCATATGCATATTGCATAACTAATCAAGGGCCATAACTCTCAGTTAAAGTTTCTGACCGGAACAAGCCGACGATATGCGCATCTCCTCTTGGTATTGAAGGTTCCCATAAAGTTTCGTCGAATTCCAGCCAGTAGTTGCAGAGAAGTAGCGCGGAAACGATTTTTAATCCATATGCATACTGCATAACTAATCAAGGGCCATAACTCTGAGTTAAAGTGTCTGACTGGAACAAGCCGACGATATGCGCATCTCCTCTTGGTATTGATGATTCCCATAAAGTTTCGTTGAATTCCAGCCAGTAGTTGCAGAGAACTACTCCGGAAACGATTTTTACTCTATATAAATACTACATAACTAATCAAGGGCCATAACTCTAAGTTAAAGGGTCCGACCGGAACAAGCCGACGATATGCGCATCTCCTCTTGATATTGATGATTCCCATAAAGTTTCGTTGAATTCCAGCCAGTAGTTGCAGAGAACTACTCCGGAAACGATTTTTACTCTATATACATACTACATAACTAATCAAGGGCCATAACTCTGAGTTAAAGGGTCGGACCGGAACAAGCCGACGATATGCGCATCTCCTCTTGATATTGATGATTCCCATAAAGTTTCGTTGAATTCCAGCCAGTAGTTGCAGAGAACTACTCCGGAAACGAAATTCGGACGGACGGATGGACGGACGGAAGGACGGACAACGCCAAAACTATATCCCCCTCCCGATTCCATCGGCGGGGGATAAGTAGTTGCAGAGAAGTAGTGCGGAAAAGATTTTTACTCCATATGCATACTGCATAACTAATCAAGGGCCATAACTCTGAGTTAAAGGGTCGGACCGGAACAAGCCGACGATATGCGCATCTCCTCTTGATATTGATGATTCCCATAAAGTTTCGTTGAATTCCAGCCAGTAGTTGCAGAGAACTACTCCGGAAACGAAATTCGGACGGACGGCTGGACGGACGGAAGGACAACGCCAAAACTATATCCCCCTCCCGATTCCATTGCCGGGGGATAAAAAGAGATTTGATGATCGGACCGGGCAAGATCCATACTTGTGCCATAGACTTTTATCTCCACCAACACTTATGATGGTTTAAAGTTACGCCCACCTCTGCTCTAGTTTCATGGTACTATAATAGTTCCATTACTAAGAAACCAAAATATATTTGTGACATTTGTGACTCCGTAAAAATGGTATAACAAGGCCGCATATATTTTGACCTGATGTCATTTGCGTTATATAAACAAAGCTTAAAGATGTGCCGAATGTGAGTGTTATACAATTGGCGCATCATGGAAACTGGTTCTTTAATCCTACTTTCACTTTTACAGCTAGCTGTTGATTATTAGTCATGTGACATTCATAATCAGTTGAAATCATAGGCAATTGAGTTACTATATGTAGTAACAAGTGTATTAAAAATCAATTTCAACATCAAAAATGGTCAAAATCATAAGAATTTTATGTTGACCAGGCAACATTCCAAACAGTAATTTTCACTATTTTAAAACTTAAGTTCTCATAAATAAAGTTTCTATTAAGTCAATGTTGGCCAAAAAGTTAACAAAAGATGTTTATCCAATCTTAAACTATTGCTGTAGATCTTTTTCTGGCTTTGTAGGGGATGTGCATTCGCGTAAGACTTTTCTCAAATGGCGTAAACCTTCCGCTTGTGGACTCTGAAATATTAAATGATCAATAATTTATACACATATTACAAGAATAAAACAAGAGGGCGGCCATGATGGCCCTGTATCACTCACCTGAATGAAAAAGAAGATTTTCAAAGTTTTCACAACATACTAGTGCATATACACATCCCAACCCTCTAAGAGTGAAATAATATAAAAAAATCTGACAGTCTTAGCGGATGTTGACATAATTTTCTTTTGGAGTTTTTCCTTTTACTACTCAGTTCACTCATTTAAACATATCTCTGTCGTTACAACACGAATCTTTTGTATGTTTAAAGGGTCCCTAAATCTAATTTTGTTACTCTGGCAGACAACAGACAGTCAGCGATCAAAAAGTAATAAAATTATTCTTAAAAACAAAAGCTGACTACAAGGCATGTCAACAGTACACTCAACTATATTCAAATACAAAGTGGAATGAAAACAAAACATTAAACATTCAGTTAAAAAAAGGGATATATATTTTTTACAATGTTCATAGCAAGATTATAACAAAAAATCTTGCTTAAAATGAATAAAAAATTAAATTAAATTAAAAAATATTGAAGCTGATGGTTAGAATCTATATACATGTTCAGCAAGGTTAAAAGCAATGCAAAGCCACAAAGGGCAAAGAAAAAAGTAGTTGGGATAAATAAAACAAAAGAGACCATAGCTTATTGAATCACAAGTTTAAACAACAGTAAAACTTTGGTAAGTCGTAGTTGCAGGGATTTGCGTAAAACTTTAACACATCAGGACTTTGACTCATTAATCGGTCTCAAATTAATGACAAAATTTCAGAGTTTGCTAACGAGATACAAATGGTGTAACAAAAAGAAAGGGCAATAACTTAGCCAGCTTATAGTAAATACATTCAGTGTGACTATTATGCACTGTTTTAAAATACAAATGCCAGAATTTGAATGGTAACAGTAAGAACAATTTACTACACATGTGAACGCATACAAAGGCTGTTAGGACACACAACTGAATTATTAACACCTCTCACACAAGTTGATTGAAAATCATCTTTGCCCAAAGAAAAGGAGTGAGAAATGTCTCCAAATTGAGGTGTCAAAATAATTAAAAGACTTTGATATATATTAATGATAAATTGTATTTTATTTATTCTATACGGACCAAGAGAAAAGTTTGACACATCGAAAAATTCAATTTTGACTCATATTTAGTTTTTTTTTAATAAATACATATAGGTTATAAGTTCTTCTGTATTTTACGTTACAAAGGAAAAATAAAATATATACCCTTTTCAACTGCCTACATGAGTCATTATCACCATCATCTAATCTGTTACATAGAATTTTTGTGACCTTCAACCATGCTGGTTCTCTTTCCTCAGTTGTGGTCTGGGACTTCACTGGGGAACCAGCTGGACTGGTATCCTTATCCAATCTCTCACCAGAAGTAATATTTTGAGAACCAGTCTGTAGCCATGGACACCAGTATCTGTGTTCTGAAACTGGGTCAAATTGTTGCTTTTCCTGAAATACCAAAACACGAATAAAATAATATCTATCAAGCAGCACACCTTCAGATTTCTGCTAATTTTCATGAAAAATTTGAAAATGTATTACAATGTATAAAGTAAAGTATTTGAAAGGAACAAAGAAAATAATTTACACATTGCAAACGGCATTTCAACCAAGGTAAATTACCAAATAAGAGGTCAAAATATGAAAAAATAGCCCTTACTATGTTAGTTACACAGAAGAAACCAACATAGTAGAAATATGGTGAAAATACTTCAAAATCGGTCATTTTTCACAAATAAAATGGACTCTTTTTTCCCCTCTATATTTAACAGTAAAGGTTTCTCAAGTTTGATTTTCTTGAAATATTTTGGCTCATCTGGATGCATGCAGCTATAAAAGAGTAATTTTATGTGTAGAAATAAAACATTTACCCTATAAACTAAAATGACCAATAATAAGACATAAAATTATTGAATTGTGTTAGAGAAGTCTATAGGAGTGCATGCTGGACTCTTTTCAGTTCCTGTTGGTGTTTCAAAGTTTTTATACAGGGGCATAATTTTAGAAGGCCCTCAGTAATATTTGAAAGGTCTAGGACAAGTGGCTAATTCAGGTGGAACAATGAATATGTCAATACATAAAATTAATCCGGCCATTCAATCTCCTATTTCTAGCACTGGTAAAAAAATACCTTCAGATCGGCGGTAGTTTTTACTAGGCCAAACAGTTATTTGTAATTTAATCAACACATATTGTTAACACATAAATCTGACAAATTTATTGATTTTCCAAGTTGTAGATAAATGTGACAGCGCAAACATGTAGCTAAACACCGTTTTCCAGTACATTACGGATTTAGCTACGACACCAAATGAAGTCAACAACATGATTATGTGATATTTCTATTTTTATTGTAATTTTTCCGTTTAAGATATAAAAAAAATTGATTTGTTACAAAATTTCCAATGTTCCATTACTATCTCAGCATATTTATTTCAAATTTTACAAAAAAATAATGTTATTATGAAAATTTCATAATTTAGAACAGTTAACTTGTAGACTGTACTAGACACCTGTCATTATACATTTAAATAGTGATGTTTTAATTATTTTCTGTGTTAACTTTTCCTAGTATTTACATACATTTTTGCATTGAATTATTTCTACAAAGCTTTTTAAATTTTTGTTCATTTTTTTTCAAAATAATTGTTTTATCTAAAAAAATGGGCCATCATGTCTATTTCAAAATAGTAGCTCAAATGTACTAGTTAAATATTATATAACATCATTAACAAAGTTAGAATCTTCAGAAATAAGAAAAATTCAATAATATTTCACCAGGGCAATTGTATGAAATATAAAAACAACTTTTAATAATTACATCTAAACAATGAAGCATTATTGTACTGTATCGTCAATACGTATTGTGTATCGTTGGTCTGTATCGCAATATGTATCGAATCGGAAATTTCTGGTCAATACCCAGCCCTACATAGCAGTAATGAATTTTTAGTAGACCTCAACTGACATAAACCATTTTGCATTTATGCCAATATCCTGCATTATTAACATATAGGGCAAATGAGTTTACACATATTTAATTTAGCTTAATTTTTATAACAAATTCATGCATTTTATGGAACTAACCAGTACTGATGTCATAATCGACAGATCCTTACTTTGCCCTTTAATTTGAATAACAATAGATTTAACCACAAACACGGACATTGTTAACAAACATGTTGTGGTGAAATTCTTATTTTATCCACTAATCTGATGATTAGAATTAGACTGGTCAGTGATCCATGCATAGGAAATGGGGTTTCCAATGAAGCAGGGCTTCGTCACATGATCCCTGGTTCACGTGACAGAAAACCTTAACCACTTGGTGAATGCTTGCCTCTTTCAAAGTCATAAAAAGGGGAATATAACAAGGTCTTTATTATCGGGAATATTTTTGTTTGTTATCAAATAAACACGACACAAATTTCTGGATGAAGAAAACACCTATTTGTGCATGTACGCTGTCTCAGCCGACAACATCAAAACATCCGGTTGACTTACTCATGTGACTTGTCGCAACATGTTTATCAAGGATCGAGTACACAAGCCGAGTTCAGTGGCTGCTAACTGGTAAAACGTGACTTTTTTCTTGTTTATGAAAACAAAGTCTCTGTCATCGCTAATGAATGGACCAAAGCAAACAGAAAGCTGACAACTCTTGTTAGCAGCTCTTATATAACTAAAAAGGGTCGTTGTACTTTTTGTACACTTGTTGTTGCCGATTTTATTAAATACAATTTACTACTAAGCTTTTGCATAACCAACTATTAAACAACTTTATACAGTGAATTTTTTTTTTAAATCACAAACAAATCTTTTGATAAAAAATTCTTTCACACATGGATGGACAATTTTATGGGTGGTTTGCTGCTTCAAGAAAAAAACATATAACTTCTTTTTCAATAGAAATGAATCTTTAAAACATTTGGTCAAATTTTCTATTCATTTTATTTGGCGCTTAAGACTGAAACCTTATGAACTTAAAGTAAAGCCAATTAAAACTTTTAGAGCATTAGAACAATAGCTTAAGCATAAAATGGAGATTAAATTATATGTTAGTAAAACATTGCGATGTGGTGCCTCAGTAGTAAACATATCTGCCCATTTTAAACCCAAGGATTCTGGATTCATGCACCACTTGGGAAAGCTATTATGGGTTCGAGGACCACTGGGATCAAAACAATGTTACTTTATTTGACAACATGACAAAGTACTGGTAATTTTAAGAAAGTGGATTGGAGAGTTGTTTACACAAAGCTACACATGCAAGCAGTCAGAAGTCTTCATTATCAACCTTATATAAGTGTTTAAACCTTTAACCTGATGGAACTGGATGTGTTGAGCCTTTGCAACTAGTATCAGCCAGGCCAGCCAGCATATCCATGCAGTCTAGCCAGACTCTTAACTGTTGGTAGCTCGATTTTTGGTATTTTGGTATGATTCCTTAAACTTTAAATGGACTGTTCCAAACTCAAAGCAGAGTAAATCCATTACACAAATTTAGGAGGTAAAGGGTTAAGCTAAAACATGTTAAAGCTTAAAATAAAACATTGTAAGCTGAAAATGACATTAACAGTTTGTTTGTTTGTTTGTTTGGATTTTTACGGCACGTCAACACATAACTGGCCATATCGTGCCGAATGCTATTAAAGGCTTAAAATGTTATGTAAAACTTTGTTAATGACAATAGAAATGAACCAATTAGATCCTAGAATACAAGTTTATCTCTTTCAAATAATCAATTATGTTTGACATTAACAGAGATTTAAAAGTTACACAATGAGCTTAAATGGAAGAAACACTAGCTTGAACTGAAACATTACATAGCTTTACCTTGTATTTTTTTGGCCATAGAAAAATGCTTCAACAATATTAGTCATATGACCTATCACATGATGAGTAAAAAATCTCCTATCCAACTTGGTCATCATCCTTTAATCTTCTGTGATTTACCTTTAAAAATTTGGCCACTTCAGTGACAAAAAATGAAAACGGTTGACAAAAAACATTTTCTCCTTCTTCAAAAATATTACAACAGTTTTTAAAAAAACTAGGTCTGGTAACATAACTATATTTATCACGAAATTTCAAAAACTTACAAGCCTGGGTCTCTTTCTAACTGGTCCATCACACTCCGAGTCCTGTCCATTATTCTTGTTTATCTGCCCATCCATTTTGTTTGTATTTTTATCATTAGGTTCTCCCACTGTCCCTGATGAATCACCATTAACATGACATGTATTTTGATCCACATTTGTATTTTCTGAGTCATTTTTATGAATACCATTTGACTTCTCCGTAAAACTGTTCCCATTTATTCTGGTCTCTTTAAAACTGTCCGATCCAACGGACGGAGTCATTTGTTCTGTATTTTCAAACTGGTAATTCCAGAGTCCTATTTTTCGGCAACAAAAATTGCACTGCAGAATATCCACTTGTGATTCACTGCAAAGAAGAACAATTTTTTAACTTGACTTATTTTTAACATGTTACCCGTGTATCTGGCCTACAGTATAAGTTTTGCCATTGTTTGGAAAGTACATTTTACTTAACTTGAATATTGGATTTTCTTTCAGTAATTTGACCAACATGGTCATGGTGGTAGCAAACTTTTTACGTAGTTCAGCAAAATGTTTGAAACATCTGAATATATTCATCTTCAAAGAAATCTTTGTTAGCTTAGTGTAAAACAGTCAATAACACTGACAAAGAATTAGTCCAGCCAGAGTCTTAAAAATTGAAAGACCCTTTAAAGTTGTGAAGATCCTGATTCAGCCAAATTTGACATTCTGAGCAATTATTTGATAAATTCATTAAATGAAACCTATTTATGACTTTTAAATAAATGCACCCATATCTGTAACAAAAACATAATATTTTACCAAAGTCAACTGGAAACGAATCACTACAAGAATTATAATTTCCAGGGAATACAACACACATATATAGTTACATATTTGAATATAAATAACTAAAATCTTCATTTCAGATAAAAGAGGCCATATTGTTTAACACAGATGACACATGACACTGGCAACAAAATGTTTCAAACTGCCTGATTATGCTGAAAAAATAGCCCATAGCTCTGTATAAATTGGGGGGGGGGATTAGAACAGGTTCCATAGGATGTATGTTAGAACAAACAGTTAACATAGATCTTTAATGAAAGAGAAACATTTATTTTGTTTGGTTTTACAATGCACCCACCCAGTTAAGGTCATATCACACCAGACAGGAAAGATGATTTTGGCTACGGTACCCCACCTCAGGTGTCAAAGCCATCTAACCTGCTGGAGCTTCAGTTATTTGAACCAATTATGATCGCCACTTACAATCACGCAGGGTTACACGGTGGCTGCTTCATCCCTTAAAGGCAACCCCTTCATCTCAAGGGGCCATGCACGCAAATTGTTTCATACCAATTGATAAGGGGGAAAAAAAGGGCCATTACCTCTCCATATAGGGGAGAAAATATTGTCTTTCCAAAGGATGTTTAGCAAACAGTTTACAATAGTTTTAATTCAATCCATCATGTATTATAATGAATGGTAGCATTCACAAGATTACAAGTGTAGAAAAAATGACAAAGGGGCAAACTGAGTATACACCCTTTTAAACTTTGTATGCAGAGGAATGATCAATACTAGTGTTATCGGTCAGGATCATTGACTTACATTTATCATGCATAAAGTTCCATATACACAGGAGCAATTGTACTTGACATATGAATTATGCCAACCTTGATGCCACAGTGAGTACGATAGCCTCTTTCCAATCAAGCTAGAAATCATTTCCAGTACATTATGTCCAAACAACTTATATAACAAGCAATATGAAAACAAATTTAACAAAGATCAGTTGTCACGGTGAAATTATGACTTGCTCAAGGATACATTCAGCGACCCGTGTATTATATATCTGATGCTCTCCGTTTTTACATGTAGCTAAATCTAAACACTTTATACAGGGTCTTCATTTTTTATCTAAGGCAACAGATGTGCCAATGAAAACAACCCATTTAGCTGAGGGTCAAAGGGAATTTTATAATATAAAAGCTGAAAATACAACCAATTTAAACAGAATTTCAACGGATGATATGGAATTGACAATCTGTTAATAATGAAATCCCTGTGTACCCACAGACCTGACTGTAAAATGAATATGGCAACCATCCTATACAATCATTTATTCAAGATTTCTATTCTTAAGAATAATACTGTTGATGCTGAAAGGAAATCATTCAGCATGTTATTATCACCTAACATCATACATATCAGTCTGTGAAGCCAGACCAAACAAGTTGAATCTGGTAATATCACAGGTCAAGAAAGTTCGCAAAGTCTACTGAACCGCAAGAAAGGTCCATGAACTTCACTAATTCATAGAAAAAATTCACCAAAAATGGAGAAAAAACAAAAAAACTTTGTGCACAAAGAAAAGAGACATACCTGTAATGCCAGCCACAAAGAGCACATACAATGGTTGAATCTGAAGCAACTATCTCATTGCTATGGTGCGATGCAATAGTTCTGGCATAAGACATCATCCTTTCTTCTGTAACTCCCTTGTAAATGAAACAGGTAAAAAAAAAATTTCAATGCAAGTTTTTAAGACAATCTCTGCATACATGTTAATCTTTTCAAAATTTGGCTCTTATACCGCCTGGGCCCTCTATGCAGTCATTTAAGTTTAGTTTAGTTAGTTTATACAAATTTATCATAGTTTGATTGTATAGGAAGCTATGAGCTTATTGAAACACTCTCAATTCCATTCAATACTAAGCAATGAATGTAAATTTATTGCTCAAGGAATCCAAGAATGGCTAACCCCTGACAGGGTTTGAACCCACAGTCATTTTAAATGCAGGTATAAGCATTCAGGGTGCTTCAGTAGAAATGCCAATATTTTAGCCTGATGTGAGTTAAAAATTATTCAATTTTTTTTTCATCTTAGGTCATTTTGCATATAATAAATGATAATTTTGGGGAAAAAAGGCTGAAATATTGCACACAATTTGTTGATATAAATCTACATGACATGGCATAAAATCTTGAAAAAAAATATATCCAGTTCTGTCATGTTAAAAAATCTATGAAGTGTCCCTTTAAAGACATACACAAATGTTTGCTTATCAATTATAAATTATAAGGATTTTCAATTTTCAAAACAACTTGCGGCTTTCTGAAGGAGAAAATACAGCATGATCAGGGAAAACTTGAAATCAAATAAAGGAGAATGAAATTTACCCACACATTTTATAAAATTTTCAATTTCAATTCATTTAAACAAGTATGGTACATAGCAGATGCTATCCAGAGGGGCATTTCAGGGGAAAATATACCATTTTTAGGATAAAATATAACTATTTTGACAACAACATGGTGAGCTAATTAATTAATATAGTTTACATGTCAAGTTACCTTTTCCTCAATGGATTTGAATGATACTGTAGGAATTTTAGCACATTGCAGAGATGTCATTCTAAACCAGAAATTGCTCAGTAACTCCTCTCTGTCATGGTACGATACATACAGAAATGATTCTAAAAATAGAAGTGCTAAGATATTTTTTTATCATACATCAGTATTACAGATAAAGTGATTTTTACAACTTAAAAATAACACATGGCACACCTAAATGGCTGTTACATTAAAATTTCGTTTTGTGAATGTCACCATTGCAGAAATGTTTCATGTTAGTTCAGCAATTGAACTTCAGAATAAATGAATAATTCCAAAGAATGACTGTTATCATGAAGTATTATTTTACTATTTATAACAACTGTTAACACGGAAAATTCCCAAAGTTGATGAGAATTGATAATTAGATTAGTTGTTGACATGGTATCCCTACATAAAGTTATTTGGTTGGGTTTAACGTCTCACCAATACAGTAAATGTCATATAAAGACTTTCCAGCTTAACTGGTGGAGGAAGACCTCAGGTTGCCCCTCAATGCATTATTTTTGCAGACAAGGCACGACAGGCCCCTGAGTAGAACCATCAACGTTCCGTAGGCTTTAGTTTCCTCACATGAAAGAATTCAAAGTCCCTGTTGAAATTCAAACCCACAGCAGTGAGGGGCAAGAGGTTTGAAGTCAACGACCATAACCACTCGTCCATGGACACCCCTTTCAAATTGTTTGAATTTAAGCAAAAAGTGAAAATATTTATAATTTTGACAAAATTTTTTGTATTCTTTTTCCTGCAATTAGTCAGTCTTTTTGCTTCAAGGATTGCGGTGTCAAGGATTCTTGGCAATATGTACTGAAATTGAACCCTCCTTGGGAATGTACTCTGCTGAAAAACCCGAGACAGATAGAAATCCAATTAAATTTCATTTTACTAATTTTAAGGTGGTATGTCATAAGAAAAAGATGTATACCATGGAATACAAAAATGTTTAAGCTATGTCTTTTTACTGTATTGTGTCTTTTTTTCAATTACTGCAACTACACAACTAAAGCTTAATGCTACAGATATCAGGACTGTTACTGCTACATTGATTTTGGTTTGTGGTTTCTAAAATGTAATGCTTTTACTTCTTTACCTATACAATATGACTTCCAATGTCAGACACTTTGCTGTCTCTGACCTCAAAATTTTGGGACTAAATTGAAGCCCTGTGATATGGTAAAGCAGTTACTGATATAGATACCCACCATGAACCATTATAAAACACTTCTGACTTTTATAAAACAATACAAATATTTAGGTCATTCTGATGACCACCACATAGCCGTCATATTCTAAAGGAGATTTAACTGTCATATCAGTGGAACAATCATTTTATTCAGAAAATCAGAAATAATTCAATGAAGAGACTACGGTGTGATTTTTTTGCGGGCATCTTTTATCAATTTTAGTATTCAACAGAATGATTACAAGATTTCATCACCTGAATACAATAATGATATAACTGTTATTAAAATTTAGTTAGAGTTAACCTGTTACTGCACTTAGGTGACGATTTATATATAATTCTACGTTACATGAAGTTAACATGAGCACATAAAAATGCTTGACCAATGGTTGCCAGGCAACCTACCTGGACACGAACTTGAGGACCATTTACACAACTTTTCATGACCATCTACCAGTTCTTTCTTGAATTTATTGCAGCTATCCCTATCTGAAAATAAATATAAAACAAGGTGTTAAAACATACAATTTAAAAACTTTTCTTTATTTTTAGAAAGGTCTTTAAGAATTGCAATTTACTTTTAATGGATATTTCCAACTTCAAAGCAGTTTAAATTTATCCATTACATATATTCAAATATATGTCAAAATCTAGGCAATAAAAACTTTGAAGTGTGACACACCTATTATTTCAATTATTCATTTTTAATCAATAAGAACTTATGATAAACTCAATTACTATTGAAATGTGTTTTTTTGAATCTAAAGACCTCAAATATACAGACTTATACACTTTAAAGCCGCAAAAATCCCTGCCCTGGTAGGGAGAATTTTGTAGGCGTGTTTATCAGATAAATCATGCAAAGGACGCTGTACCTGTGCTAAATTTAGCTGATGTAAACAAACACTATAGCAGACGATAACATTTGTTATTACTGATCAGCAGCTCCCTTCCTAGAGTAATATTTCAAGTTTCTACTGGAAAGTTAACACTGCCACGTGTATTTGTTTACAACCTGCAGTTCATGACCCCATTTACTCCGCCCCGGGATTTTCAAATTTTTGACAGTTAACTGATTTTTTTTTTCACAAAGTACATTTAAGTGAATCTTTTGTGATATTTTCTCTGCCATTTTATTTCAAATGTTGCAAAGAAGTTATACAAAAAGTTTTTAGGCAAAATACTTCTTGGTTATTTTACAATTTCAAGAAAGGGCTGTTAGATGTGAAGCATGTCAAAAATACCATGAAAATCTGCCCCAGCGCCATCTAGTGGCTTAAATAGTCAAGTTGCAGGTTTAAAGGCTCCACTGTTTTTGCTGATACTTACAATTTTGAGTGTCTACTACCTTCGGAAGCTGACCACAAATGAAGGCTTTACAGTTCACACACTGAAGCATATCAGTGTCCGTATTCTTCCAACCGTATCGAGCACAGACCAAGGGAGACAACTCCAGTGGTTTTGCGAACCATTGTAAAGGGTACCAGGGTTAAGGCTTCAAAAGTTTCATATTATTTAAAGTAACATTTTTTGTTCAAATAATTCAAAATTCATCATAAAATCATTAAATTAAGATAAAGGTCTTATTTTTTAAAACTCCACAGAGACTTTTAGACTTGATTAAACTAGAAATATTGTTTCCTAGTTAAGTGAACCATTTGATATAAGTCTGAACAAATAAGTCAACTTACATGAAAAATTTCACATACATTTTTTGCAGAATAATCAATTTAATTGTGCAAAAATGATCCAATAATGATAAGCATCTCAAATCAGACTAAGAATCAAACAAACAAACAAAAACTAGAAATGTGTCCATAGGACACTGATGCCCCCACACGCCACTGTTCTGTCAATCTTATGACTCTAGGTCAAATATTTTTTGGACTACATGTGCCACAAGTTGAAAACTAAAAATCAACAAAGGGCCATAATTCTGTTATATTTGGTCGCAGCAAAAAATCCTTCCTTTACTACGATCTACACATTAAGGTTGTTAATCCCTGGAAGTTTAAGCAAAATCTGCCATCCGGTTTAAGAGGAGTTGCATTCACAAAATTTCTATATAGTATATAAAGAAAAAATCAACAAAGTGCCATAATTCTGTTAAATTTGGTTGCAGCAAAAATTCCTTCCTTTACTACCATCTACACATTAAGGTTGTTCATCCCTGGACGTTTAAGCAAAATCTGCCATCAGGTTTAAGAGGAGTTGCATTCACAAAATTTCTACATAGTATATAGTGAAAAAATCAACAAAGGGCCATAATTTTGTAAAATTTGGTCGCAGCGAAAATTCCTTCCTTTACTACCATCTACACCTTAAGGTTGTTCATCCCTGTAAGTTTAAGCAAAATCTGCCATCCGGTTTAAGAGGAGTTGCGTTCACAAAATTTCTACTTAGTATTGAGTGAAAAAATCAACAAAGGGCCATAATTCTGTTAAATTTGGTCGCAGCAAAAATTCCTTCCTTTACTACCATCGACACATTAAGGTTGTTCATCCCTGGAAGTTTAAGCAAAATCTGCCATCCGGTTTAAGAGGAGTTGCGTTCACAAAATTTCTACATAGTATATAATGAAAAAATCAACAAAGGGCCATAATTCTGTAAAATTTGGTCGCAGCGAAAATTCCTTCCTTTACTACCATCTATACATTAAGGTTGTTCATCCCTGTAAGTTTAAGCAAAATCTGCCATCCGGTTTAAGAGGAGTTGCGTTCACAAAATTTCTACATAGTATCTAGTGAAAAAATCAACAAAGGGCCATAATTCTGTTAAATTTGGTCGCAGCGAAAATTCCTTCCTTTACTACCATCTACACATTAAGGTTGTTCATCCCTGTAAGTTTAAGCAAAATCTGCCATCCGGTTTAAGAGGAGTTGCGTTCACAAGATTTCGGGACGTACGGACGGACTGACGGACGGAATGACGGACGGACGGACAAGTGCAACGCTATATGCTCCCACATTGTGGGGGCATAAAAATATTTTTTTAATTTAATTCTGTTGATGGTTCTTTATTATTTTTTGCCTCCTCAAGTGCCAAATTGATCTATTTAGGAATTTCAAATTTTATCATATGTTTTCAGGTTTTTGGACTTCAGTAGAGCTCCTTTAAAGCTTTAGAATACTAAAGGGTTTACTAGCATGCAAGACTAGTTCCTGTACAAAAATTGAAGTAACTAAGAAACTTAATTTTTATAGCACATTCACCATAAAATTGACTGTTACATATCAATATTCAGCTCGTCGCACAAATCATTAAAATCTGCATATGTTCTTTATAAAGAATAACCTTTAGTTATGAAGCCTACTTTAGAGTACTGAAATTACCGATTATTTTGTATGAAGAGAAGAAGTTCCCGTACATAAAATATAACCCATAATAATTACTCAATGTTTTTATATCAGTCCTATTTTTGTTTATAATTGTTAAAGAGACCATTAAATAGATTTGTCATTAAGGATACAGTGTGCACCAAATACTGGTACTATTACCCTGTACTGTAACAGTCTGTGCGAAAGTCTGTCAGTCTTCAAACCTCGCCAACTAAAAATCAGGAGGGTCGAGATAAATTTCGATACAGACAGTCCTCATGTCCGAATAAAAATTCAGCGAGTTTTAAATAATTTTTGGTCTTCTAAAATAATTATGCAAAACTTCCAAGATCAACCTTTTTTTTTCATTTTTGCTTGTATTCACCGACCCAGATAACCAACATCACCGCAAGATACAACCAGTTTTTGCTAAGTAATGTAAGCCACCATCATTCTTGTCTTGGATAATTTCCTTACCAAAACATATTTGTTCTCTAATCTTCAAAATTAAACCTTTGAAAGATGTATCGTTTTCTTGTGAATTATGCTAATGTTTTATTTATCATGTTTCTGTATATTTTTTTCATAGTATCTTATAGTTGAGTCTGATAATTCATATTTGCTAAATATTTTTGTTTATAATTCTGGCAATATCCCTCCCCCACCCCTACAAAAAATATCTTTCAGAGTCCAGGCTGGGTAAAAATCATCAGGGCCGGAAATAAATCTAAGGATCCCTGGCAGTCCTTGTGGCTGGATTTTTTTTTTGACTTTCGCATTGACTGCTGTTATCCCAAGGCATAATGCCATATAAGAATCTTACTCTGGCTGCCAGTACAAACCGAAATATATAACTCGAGGGAAACTGGTTACAACGGTAATGAGGCTCTGCCGAGTTTCCGCTAAACAGTTACCCGAGAGCTAGATATTCCTGTCTGTACCAACAGCCAGTGTTTGATTTTTTTTCTTGCATAATTATTTCATATCAATTATTTTCAAAAGAGAAATTAAGAAAACTAACATTCTCATTACGCACTTTTTTCTTATAGTAGCGTATGCACTTACAACTTCATTCATAACGGTAAAATGGCGTCATCCTAAGAATTCAATTCATTCATAAAAGGCGCGATGCAATAATGTCATTTAAAGCACGCGACTTGTCTTACATGGGAGGGCATTTAAGACAGGTTTTTCTAGCACCGGTGTAAAGGTTAGATAATCCTGTCTGATATGCAAGAATTCACATGCAATGACGTGCTTGTATGCATGATATTTTACCCATTTAATAATGCAATTAATTAAGTTCAAATGGAAATATAGAACCAATCTGACCAAAGTTAAGATCTTATAATGTTTACATCTACAGCTACATGTAAACATAAGAAAATCTGAACTGTTAGAGTCAGACTGATATAGAACAAAAATCTGATATTCAAAGAAGTTTTCATCACTTACAGTGTACCTGTGATATGGTAATTGGGGCATTATTTGAAAACTCTTTTACAGGACTCATATGGCAGTATTGATTGCACAATAATGGAAGCCCTCATGTTTACAAGGTCATTTGACAACTCACAGGTGAAAAAGTGATAAGGTGCTGAAACAATTTCATTTATGAGCAACTGTGAATGTTTCTATTTTTGGAAAATTTCAGTATTTAAGTATTTAATATCTGGAATATTATTGGGTGAATGTCTAGTACTATAATGACATACTATCAATAAGAAGCAGGCATAATAGCAGAACCATGGGACAAACTTGGGGATTTTTTTGGCTTATTTTATAGTTGATATTTGGTCATATTCCCAACTGAAAATAGTCTATTATTTTCCCAATTCACACGAAAAAATTCCCAATTGCAAGTTACAAAATAAATATATTAAATAACAAATTCTAAAATCTTTGAAAATAAGAGCTTCTTCACTGTTAAGGTGTTAAAATGTTTTAAGATGCCATCCTAGACAATGATTCTTTGCATACATTTAATCATTGCAAAAATTAAAGTCATGCATTTTTGCCCAAATTTTAACAAAACATCGCTGAAATTCCAAATATCATGGGTATAGGACATGTTCCCAAAATCCTGGAAAAAACCCTGAAACTCTATCCAGACGACAGATAAATTCATAACAGATGTGAATTTACCCTATATCAATGAGGGACAGGGTTGCCAGCCTGGAGAAGCAATCATTAAAATAGATAAATGTTATTTCGATTTAAAGGATATTGAAAATGTGTCAACACGCTCTTGGAATAGTTTCTTGTTTCTAGCATCAGGCACATTAAACTCTTCAGCATTTGTTCCACTTGTATGAGACTCAGCTTTTCTGCAAAACACAAAATAGTTCTGTTATATCATTAAAAGCAGGCTCATCCTGAAAATTACTGAATATTCAGAAATATCTTCCTTAAGTCCCAGCAGAGGCTAAGTATATGGTTGGCACAAATCATATTGGGAATACAGACTTTCGAAAAAAACAGAACTACAAAAACAAGCTTGAATAGACAGTATAATGGACAGATGCCTACATGATCCTAACCTGTCAAATTCAAATTTATTATTAGATTATTGGATTACAAAAAGATTTTCACCACAACCTATTTGTTTACAAAAGAGTACAAGTCAATATCTGAGGTTAAATCTATTGTTATTCAAATAAAATGTCAAGATACTCGGTAGGGACCTATCAATCCCATGCAAAATGCATTCATGTCTTTAGCTAAAATTGAAACTTTTAATTGAAAATAATTTGGCTTATATAATTATATACTGGTTGGAGAGATAACACTGACAGTAGTATATATATATATATGTAATAGAAAGAGCATCCAAACACAAGGCTATCTGATTTGTACGCAGGGCGTAGCATCCGAGTATAAATATGATTGCCGAGTGTTTTGTTTGTATCATAGTCAAAATAAAAACACGTTCCCTGATGTCACAATTTGAAACCCCAGAAAAAAAGTAACCAATGAATGAGCATCTGAATATAATATTTCTATCGCTATTAGGGATTAAACGATGATCGAGTATAATCGATAATTGATCGTTTATAGGACCGATTAGCGATGATCGAATACAAAGTTCAATAATCAATCATCGGTTATTTATCTTCTTGCTGTTACTTAAGTGACTCACTGTATTATAACAAGACTTTAAATTAAAGCCAGCTTTGGTTTTACCCAATAATTTTCATAAAATGAATGAGAAAGCATACTGGTGCCCATGAGGTTAATAGTTGACAGTGAGGCATTCTAGTTTACAGACATACTATGCTCAAATTTGAAATTAAAAATTGCTACACAGTCTATTTGTAAATATGAAATAAACATGTTTTGACTTCAAACAAAGAAGATATGTATAAAATTAGTCTACACACTAATCTAAAGATGGTTACAATATAAATATATAGTGACATTAAAAAAAACTTGGCATTTTTATTAATGACCAACTTCTCTTGTTCCCATACATAGCTTTTTCATTCCTTTATTGGAATTGAGACATAGATATAATGAATTTATTTGATTAGAATATTTTACTCAAGGATGAACATAGGCATGAGAAACTAGTTTATTTCAGTTGATTAAGTGGTAGTTACTCAAAATATAGAATATTAATGGAATTCTTATAAATATTAAAGCATGATATGTGCATTGTACATATTTACTTTGTTATCATAAATGTTTCGATTATGTAATCGATGATTGATCGAAAAAGGTTGTTCGATTATTTTCGATTACGATTTTTGTCCGATTAAGAAACCCTAATCGCTATCCCTTTCTCTGTCGTCACAATATGTAAACCCCAGACAAAATGAACCAATCAATGGGCATGCTCTGGAGTGCAGGTAACTAATACTATGCACTCCAGTTAACGCACTGTGCATGTATTAAACAATTTAACTCTGACACATTTTCAACAGAAAGGTCCCCAAACTATGATACAAATATATATATATACAGTGTTCAATCTAGAGCGCGCCATTGCGCCATTGACCCCCTGAAAAGACCGCCGGCGCAAAACAAATTCAACTGTGGGCCCGATGGGCGCACTCATAGAAAATGCCCTAAATGACATTAGAATGCTTTCTTAAACCTGATTAAGTACATAAAAAAAGTTTCTTGTGAATAATATTAATAAATACTGAATTCAAAACTGAAGTTTGTATAGAAAAACAAGAGCATGTTGGTAAGATAGTTACCGCACTCGGTAACCCTTTTAAAACCTTGATCGCTACGCTCTCTCGGCCGGGGTCTGTAAATACTATGTAGACTTTTTCTTCGTACCGTAACTATTACTTACTTTTGAGTCACAGTTTTTATAAACAAAACAAATCGTCACAGATAATCCAATACGTGCGTGTAGTTATAGTTTTTTCACGGTCAAAACAAATAAATATGTCATAACTTTCCGGAGGAAAAAAAACTATATATTTGTGAAAAGTGCGAGATAATTATAGAGAAGTGTGCATAAATTATTACGAACACGCCTTCATCCAATTAAAAAAGTCTTAAAGATGGAGCTAATCAAACACGATTGGCTAGGGGGTGTCTGACAATTGGGCCATCCTTAAAAAAATGTTTGTTTGCAGTAACCCAACCCAGAATTTTCAAGGTTGGTAGGTAGGTCGATTTTTTTTTTTTTTTTTTTTTTTTTTTTTTTTTTTTTTTTTTATTGAACTGTACTCCCAAATAAACATGCAATTTCAAATTGCTGGACAATATATGCTTTGATAATCTGGTAACAATTTAATAAATTGTTAACTCAATTCTAATTTAATAAGAACTACATTTTTTTTATTCTCTTAACCTATAAAAGAAAGAAAACAAAGCACAAGGCATAATTTTCGGAGACAAAAAAAAAAAAAATTTTTCCAGACCATGAAAAAAAAATTTGAGTAGGGGCAAATTTTATGAGTCGGTTGCGTTACTGCAAACATACATTTTTTTAAGGATGGCCTTGAGTAAATAAACTTTGATTGGTCTTTGGCTGGTCGGCGTTAAAACATTGTGCATATCATTAATCAATACACGTGACGCAAGAACTGCTGCCCTGACAAAAGATCAAAGGTACCGGTATGTCAATATACATTGTCTTAGCACCTGTTGACACTTTGTTTTTCGTTTGGATATATTGAGAAGGGTAAATGTTTTTAGCGACTATTGTAAGTTTATAGTCTTCATCAACAAAGCTAATTGGGAAATATGATTTTCTTTTATATATCGGGCGCTGATTAAAAAACTGAACATTATTATCAAATATCCATGGTAACATTAAAATAAGATTCATATGTTTCTTTGAACATTATGTCATCGTTTCTTTACCAATCAGTTTTTAAAATTGAGCCTGTATCAAAAATGGTCAAAATAATGTCATTTTTTTAGTAAGTTGATTGTTTTGGAATTTTGCAACCGTTTTTAGTCTATATATGGTACGTGAACAAGTAAATTAAAAGATACAATACCTTATTTTAATTTGATGTTCTTTTAAGTGCGGGCCCCCTTTTTTCTCAAATGACCCCCTTTTGAAAAGTTTATGGACCCGAAGGGCCCCCTGGGAATTTGTTCTAGATTGAACACTGTATATATATATAATATTTTTTGCAATATCTTAATTACCATTATGTATACCCAAATAAACTAAGTTCAGTTAAAAGACATTACGATATACTACACAAATTAGTTTTTGAAATTATAGAAACTGGTACTTCTTTAAGGTCAGGAATAAAACATTCAAGTGGCAGCATTGCCGAGTGGTTAACGTGTCGGACAAGAAATCTCATGATCGCTAGCCGCACGGGTTCAAACCCCGTCAGGGGCAAGTCGTTGTTTCCTTGAGCAAGAAACTTTACACTCATTGCTCAGTACTGGTTGGTTCCAGGAACGGATTCGAAAGTGTGTCTATAAGCTTATAGCTTCCTACACAATCAAACTAAAATAAATTCTGTATAAACCAAAACATCCATGGTCTTTTTATCCCACAACTGCAGATAAAGATACTTTAATTTTTGTGTAAAAAATAGCTTGAAAATTTTCTGGCATTAATAATTTACACTTTTTATATGTTTTGTTATACAAAGGACTTTCATTAACAGGACACAACATGTGGGTGAATTTTCATAATTCAAAAACATTAAAATTATTAATCAAATTTATCGATGTTTGGCTCTTTTGAAGTTTTGTATAATTTATACTGATCTACAGATTCCTAAATTATTTTATGGACAGATTCACATCTGGTTTAATAAATGTTCACTGAATGAGTGACAGAGAATGTATATTTTTAAACAGTGTAAAAGACTAAGGTAAGTTCTTAATTGCTTAATACTAGATATGGCGTTATTTTCATACAAAGTAGGGAGTGGCTATTTACATTTTGAATTTCAAACTTAATTCACAAACGATTCAAGAAATATCTAACCAATTGCCCTATGATTTACAATAATAAAACAACTGGTATCTACATTACATTTAGCAAATGTAGATCTATTTCTTTCACAATCACAGTCATTTATTTTTATAATTTGGATCGCGAAAATGTATGACAATTGAAAAAAATCATGTTCATCTCTAATATATATCCTCGATTTTTCATTAATATGATGTTTCAGACAAAAGGTATACCTCTGCCTTTCATCTTCACTTGCTGTCCTACTATCACCTGAGAGAAAAGAAGAAAACAACCTTTTGATTCGCTCTGGGGTTTCGATTTCGGCAGACATTTTAAAATAAATGACCCAAAGCGCCGTAAACACCACACAGAATCTACACAGGAAAGGAAGAAAGATTAAAGTCGTGATAATATGATTATTGGACAATTTTTGGCCAGCTTACAGCACCAGTATGATTTCATCAGAAAATTCTGAAACATCTTTCATAAAAATATTACAAGCACAAACTATATTGTGTGTGATATTTTATGACTTTATGTATTCAAAAGCATCAATGGCGCTGTTTGCATTGATAAAAAGACACTTTGAACATCCCCCAGACAATTCACTCCTCAAATTGTGTAGACACTTAACTAAATAGCTTATTAGCTAATGTTTCTTGTGAGATGTAAACCAACTTAAAATAAAATTTCTTGTATCTTGTATCTTGTAAGTAAGAATTCAACAAAAAATAAAGCTTTTGTATGCTTATTTTAATTACTTATAGTAACTTTTTTTTATATTTTTCCAGCTAACATAAACTTTAAAAAATGTCTGCTACACCAAAGAAGAATATTTGTAACCTTGCAAAATAGTTGTAACCTTGCCAAAATTTTTAGTACATATAATATTTCGAAAATAAGAAACGAATTTTGAATGAAACGTTTCTCATTTTCCATTATTTTGTGACAAGAATCTATATATTTTATATATATTTTATATAGGTGGGACTATAGACTTGTAGTAGACAAGGTATTTTGCTTTTGAATTTTTAACATCTTTTTTTTTTTTGCCCTCGCAGATCATATCAAAATTTACTTTTCCATATTGCCTCTACAGTTATTAAATTATATACCATGTTTATGCTGAATAAAGTAATGAAATGAAATTTATACATTGAATTTTCACTTCTTCATAGTCAAAAATGTTTTTGTTTGTTTGTTTAAGAGTTTAATTGACTATTTTAATTAGTTACGTAATTCTTTTGGCCGTTTTTGGAAATGGTCATAAAATAGTTAATAGCTATTTTTTCTTCAGATAAACACATGCTTTGAACAATGGGAGTGATTTATTTCTGCACTTACTGCATGGTTATCATTTTTCAAAAAATTGCAGCCGCGAAATTATAAATTTACTGAGCACCTCACATTTCGTATACATTAACAACATGACTACACGTCTCACACAATGATCGTTAATCACTGGTCTACTAAATTGATTAAAAGTTATTGCAAAGTGAACGTTATTCTCCAAGAATTTATCACACATTGAATAATTATATCTGAACACAACATCAAATCACCGAGCACCTACTTTTTCTTTTTTCTTTTGCAAACACTACTAGTTTTATTAAACAATGATACAAATAATAATTTCGAATTATTGTGTCTGAAACAACTTTCACTCTGCATGCTTTGAAAGTATTTTTTCTGTGATCAATCTAAATGACTATGTCAAAATGTCAAACATGTTGTTATTCAAAACCAGTATCATCCTCACCTGGTTTCATCGGGACATGCTCCTTTTCCTTCTTGTTTGTTGGTAAAGTAGCATAATAATTATGGAACTCTTTTGGGATAATTTCCTTTGCACACAAAGTAACCAAGTCCTTTTTCTTCTGAACTGAAACTGGAGGTTTGGTATCATAACATAACTTCATATCTTGTTAACTTTTTGGCCACTGATACATACATCCTGCCTGTCTAGATTTTGTATTCTGAACATCTATTTCCAAAAAAATCTTCAGCATTGAAGCTGTAATTTTAAAATACTGATTTTGGGTTTTTCCTTCCGTACCTGTATCCATTTCACCTGTAGCCAGTTTACTCTGTGTCCTTTAATGTATAATTTGAGATTCAGATTTTCATTTCACAAAGTCTTTGAAATCAATAACATGGTAATATTTTATTGGCACAGTTATGTACACCACTGAGATGGTACATAGTTATACAGTCGTTATTTTCTTTGCCCCTTCAATAGTCAAAACAACAGAATCAACCTCCATATGTGAGTGACCCGATACAAGGAATTTTTGGCTCATGAATCTTAAATTTGGATCTTACGATAATATAAAAAGAAAAGTCCCCGGCATGAATCTGAAAAATATATGACTTCTTTGCCATTGTCATAGAAAAAGGGTTCTTCATTAAGCAGGTAGCTATTTCACATGCTCCTCTTATGCAGATGGTTTTATCTCATACATGACAACACTTTTGTCTGCTAAGGAATGTATGTCAAGTTGTGTAGCAACAGCAACTGAACTCACACATTAATGAGCAAGGGTTGTAAGGACGGTCTTGTGATCAATACATGCAACATAAACATATGTCACTTTTTGTTAGGGGACCAGCTTTATCTTTAGCCTTTTCTTCTTGTGCATTTTCCTTCTGTTTTTGATGTTCAATGAGCGCGCCATCTAGTGTGCCTACTGGCTTTCTTCTATTGTACAGTGCACATATATTGAACATTAGTCTTTCTTGGGTTGTTGAAAACTTGATAAAATAACTTTTTTTCTTTTTATTTCTTTTGTTTAATGATTTCTATATCTTAGCAACAGTAGGATGCGAAATCGAACAGCGTTATACGAAAAACGGCACCGGGAGTTATTTCCACTTGAAAAAATAAAATTTGTTATCTTCCTTATTTTATCTTATTAGAATCGAAATAATATCGATCTGAGTGGTGTTTATCGGCTATTTAACACCGGTTTTGTCGTTTTGATGCGAAAACATTAACCACTCAGACCTACGGCCTTCGTGATCAATTCCTTCGCATCAAAACTTTTTAAAAAAGTGGACTTCGTCGTCTCTTCGTGTTTTTGGGGCAAAAAAACAAAAATACGACAGGAGGACGAAAATACGACACATAAAATCTATCGTATATTCGCATTCCACCGGTCGTATTTTCCCATTTCGCGTTCAAAATTCAAAAAAGTATTATTTTGTCGTCTCTTTAAATTGCATTTTCGCTTTTCGCATTGTTGCATTTTTGCTTTTTAGCATAGTTACATTTTCGAATTTCTGCATTTCGTTTTTTCGCAGACGAAAATACGAATATGTAAAAAAATACCAGGCATTGCTGTTTTAGAGGAACATAATCTAAATGTTATATAGTTGTAAAATATATTGATATAAATTGCGTATTTTAGAAATTTATTGAGAGCAGAGATCCTGGCCCCGTGTTCACAAAGAAAAGATCAGGATCAGGATCAAGTGATCCTGATTTTATTTTCTTTGTTTTATATAACTAATATTGATCGTATTTTGCTAGAATTGAATGGTACATAAAGTTAATGTAATATTTTGCTGATTTGCAAAGCAACAATCCTGTTTAGGGGTAAAATAGACAAATAACGAAACAAATACAAAAATAATCTGATCAAAATAAGGATCAATTTTAGGATCAAGATCAATATTTCGATTAACTGTAAAATGCCCATATCTTTCAAAAATTACAATAAATTTATTCTTTAATTTCAAAAACATGCTACTTCAAGTCCAGTTTTATCAAGTTAATATTAAATATCTAATCTATAAGAATAAACAATGGATAATATTTGAGTTTTTAGATTTGATCCTGATCTTGATCCTGATCCTAAAATCTTTGTGAACACGGGACCTGGTGTTGGCAAGTTCAAAGAAGGAACCAAGATAGAGTTATATAGAGATATAGAGATAGCTTATACCCATTGACGTATAGATGTTCATATTATATATATTAAGTAAAACATGTATGTTTTGCCTTTCATTGTTGCCACGACCGACTCTGTACGTTTATGTACAATGAGATACAGTCATTTTGACCATTCGAATATTATATAGCTTCCGTGCGAGATTATTTCAAGTCCAGTACAAATGAGAAATTTATTTTTTAAAACGTCACACAATGGTCCTGTTGGCCTTCATACGAAAATAAGTATTGTAACACATGTTGAGAAAAGGAGCTGAGATGTGCTAGTACTAGTTGTTCAAGTTCAAACAATCATTTTTTTTTCTCAAAAAATACGAAAAAGTGTTGAATGGCCATGGATCCTAAAAGTTCTACTCGGATGTGTAAAATATAAAATAAAAGTCACATACATTCAACTAACGACCATTTAAACGAATGAGAGCGGGTTTTCTGAACCAACATAACAGTCAGAATCAACATAAAAGTCAAACACGACAGACATTTTTGAGTTTTACGATGTACGCCTTTTAAATGATGCATACATGTGCCTGATATATATTTTTGTGATCAGTCATGATGTGCTAGAATAATTTTAAATGTCACATCAAAGCTTCATTATGTTAATCACACAAATAATATCATAACATCAAGGAAACGACGTTCACATTTTCTTGTCCAGTATCTCATATGGATTGTGTTTATGCAAAGAGTTGTCCGTTAGAACATGCATGCTTGCTACTTTTCATACTTTTCAATTAAATGTTTTTCTTTCATTTTATACACTGCCATGTGACAATTTCATCTAAACTCATAAAATGCGTACAGCCAGGTGTCATTTAATTCATGAATAATCATAAATGCATAGTGCAGAAATGCAACACCATAATAGGATACTAAATGTTTTTTTTAACTGTGACAATTGCTTTACGACCAGCTTGCACGACTGTTTTATTTTGGTCGACACGTACAATACGGTACAAAGTAGGTTGTAGCATGCCATTCAGTAGTTATGACCTATTACGGAATGGAAACAGGTCGGTCTACAATTTACACTTAGAGTGTGTCAATATAAACAAAATGGACGTTGCCACACAGATAAGTTAGTAGTCCTAAGTGTGTACTTTCAGAGTGCGAGAAAAAGTTACTGAGTAATGATCAGTGAGTAATGGTCAGTGATACAATACAGTAATACTCACCACTCGGAATTGATCGCTTCTCGCTCCTGGACCAATACTCGTTAATCATTGCTCACTAAGATTTACACGCACTCTGAACGTAATCAATCAATATAAGGACTACTCATTTATCTGTGTGCCAACGACCGTTTTCATTATAAACATCTGTTTGAATAATGTTTGCATTTTTTACGAGAATGCTCTGAAATAGCAAACTGCTTGCATAGTTATAACATTGATGTTGCATC